TCAAAGTGGTATTAACTCGATCTCATTGTTTTCACTTTGGTCATACTGATGTCTCATTGGTGGCATCGGAAATACATCTCATTTTACAATAATAAAACGATTTATATTTCTATCCAGTAAAGGCTTTCCAATAGTACCTTTAAATGCAAAACCAGGAGTTAGGCTCTGATTTGGTGTCAATCTTATCACATACGATTCAACTTTAAAATAGTAGTGGATGTAAGTAACTTGCTGCTCATGAGACAACCTGAATCGTCGTGATGTCACTTCCCCGATAGATTTGTGACGCAATGTGGAGCACACTTTGGGTGGCTGTCATCCGAGGTTCCGGAGGCACTTGATTGAGGCTTCACATGTGTACATAACGCGCGTGTGAAAAGGCTTCATCAGTGAGTCACTCTGGAGAGCTGTTGCTGTTCTGTTCGTACCACCTCCGTAAACACCCATCACAATGTGGTCACACATCTTTTCTGTGAACATTCTTTCAATCCTTTCCCGAAACCGCAACTTCTGTTCCCAAACCAAACAGAACTGTGCATTCCAAATGGTTAAGTTGAATCAATTCTGAAGTGTAAATTGTGCCAAACTTTCTAGGATTTCACACCAAAAGTGCTCTCAAAGATGTGAAACCTGATAAAAAGGGACAAAGTCACGGCATATTAATCCCTCTTTTGTAATAGTGAAAAAAAGTAACATATTTTTGCTTTTAAACTATCAAGATCAGAGCACAGAATTTAATTTTCCTGAAATAGAATTAATTATGTAATGACATTCTATTCGATCACTTTCTTCAAACTTGTACAATACTCTAATTTACTGAGACCAGTTAGTGGCTTTTACTGTTGAACACTAGATGAAATGCTAACAGAAATCATAAGCTCCTTTTTTCTAGACATATACTGTGCCTAACTTCGACACCATATGGGTAAAGCTGTTGGGTCCTTGACGAAATCACTGCATTATGATTAAGCTGTGAAACTGTTTTTTTGACAGAAGCAAAAAAAAACCAAAGCGGGTCTAGTGCATTGCTCAAAAACAGTCACCAAATTCAGCGGACGTCCTGTGCGTTCTAGGCAAAGGCAAGCAATATTCATGTAGCTTACCGCCCCTTAAACCTTCAATACAGCAAAACAGTGATATAATGAAAGCGTCCTACTTAAGTTTGGGTTAACTTTAGCCCATTCACTCATTTATGTAGACCGTTGGGACAAGTATATAAGCTTATTTGGACCAATTCAGTCTGAACTGTCATCTATTACTCGTACCTTGTAATGTTAATTGCGAATTTACTTGTTGTTAATCATATTGCTCCTATTAAGGATTATTACGACCTTACGCTGTGGTTGTTAATTTTTACTAGAAGACAACCGCTTTCCTTAATTTTAATATTTGGTTTACCAAACAGACATGATCTCAAATAAGGACTGTAAACGTCTTTAGGGTTCTCTTCAAATAACTGCTGTGTCTGGCATTTCTCCCTCTGTTAAACGACCATTGCAAATGCTATGGATTTCATTGGTGTAATTTGCACCAACTTTTGGATTTCATGAAGATGGGACCTGCACTAAAGATGGATGAGTTCACGTACTACTCAACTTATCTACATAACAGCTGGACAATTTTGATCGCAAACCAGTAATTTAGCTGCAGTGCCATCAATTGTGTTAACTAAATGATAGTGAACTTATTGGAACCTAAGCTTATAATTTTCTAGTCTATGACACATCTTGAATTATTGTTTTGCATTTTATCGACGCCTTTGCCGCTCAATCATTTCCACTTTTGTTGTAATTTGCCTTGAGAGAAGTACAAATTAAATGTACTTTGTCAAATCCTATTAATTTTTTTAAAGAATGTCTCACCTCGGCCAAATCCTGACCTTTCTGCATGAGCATATGTGGGAAGCGTGTACGACAGTATATTATTACACCTTTAATCGCATTATAGCAAACTTTTGGCTAGAAATTGGCCACTATTTGATGCTGACATTTTGGAGATCTTGAGTTTGTCGATGCATAGCTTGGTTTTTCATCTATAGGTCAAGACCGAAAGCAAAAGAAACTTTGAACTCAAATCTTATGCAAAGCAGCCCAAAAGAGGTAGTACAATGAATCACTAAGCGAATCCTCTCATTAGGCTGGAATGGTTAAGTTAACAAGGGACAAAAACCGAAGTGTTAAGAAAAACCAACATTGATTTATTGTGAAGAATAGCCGATTTTGAGGTGGATAGTAAATGAGCTCGTGGTCTATTAAAACAAATAAGTTGAACTTATTCATATGTTCATCCAGTCCCTGCCAATGAAAATTTTGCTTAGTTTGTGGTAGAGATAACAAATTTATTCGAGCCTGTAAGCTGCCTGAGTAACAGTGTGTGAGAGTGATTTAAACGGTTATGTGTATTCTTTAATTGGGCAGGCATTTGAGTCAATGCTGAGATACTCAGGTGTTCCATGCATAACAGTGCGGGGAATAGCAAAGAGCATGGACTATAAGGTTGGTCAGCCACTGGTTCAGAAGGAAGAGCCCCTATTCCACCCGGAGACGGGTGCGCTGCCTGCTCAAATAGCGAATTTGCAGCACTCTTGGAATGCCGCTTACGTGGATGGTGTTTGGCGCCTCTATGACTGCACCTGGGCCGCTCAGCGTCTTGCCATGGGTACGCGCGAGGGCCTCCCCAAATCCTCCCAAGCCGTCACTCTACAATACGAGACCGACATGTTCTATTACCAAGTTGATCCTACCAAACTCATCTACACACACTACCCTTTCGAGGATGTGTGGCAGCTCATTGACCCTCCTGTCTCCATCGTGGTAATGTCATGCCGTTCTTTCATCATTCATGTATCAGCAATTTGGGCAGTCGATCAATCATTCGCATTAAATTGCAAACATTATTGTAAACCAAATT